AAAGAAATACAGGTCACTGTAATAGCAAAATTCCTAAAAGGACAAAAAAGATGAAGTATTCAAATTTCTGGAATAAAAATATGCAATAGGTGTTTACACTGCCGTACACCTGCAGACATGTCCGGTTACCTTTATCTCAAAGTTGTGGTGAATGTGTGGGAGGAAGACCATCTCCTCCTCATCCCATGACTGACTATCATCTGATTCAATCCTCCCTCTGATCTTCCATCGCTGGCGGCCCAGTCGTACTAACACCTGTCAATGTGACATCATTAAGACACGACGTCATCATCCAGAAACCATAAAACCCCAACCAAAGTCAGTAATTTTGGTCCAAGAGTCCAAAGGTTCAGTTCACAGTTTGTCTGTTTTTCCTGACAGTGCAGGTAGTTTGTGGAGGATTTATAACAAATTTGGCACGTTATAGTTTGAAATGTTAATTTAAATACAAGTACAAATAAAAATACAAATACAAAGTACAAACAAACAAAAAGAACCTAAGTGATAGTTGTTGCATTTCAGATTAAATTGATTAAGTCTTCATGGCATTATTTTTAAAATGTTTGCTTTATTTTTTCCATTTCTTAAACTTTTGCACAGCAAAAATAAATGAACTTATAAAGAGAGATCTTATTTAATTTAATTTTTTAAAGTTTTTTTTTTAAAGAAATGTCAAAACGTCCTTTAATTATCTTCTATATAAATTCTTTTTTTTAAATTTTTTTTAGTACTTTGGGGGACTCCAAAGTAACATTTCTGGATGAGATCCAGAAGTTGTTGTAAAAAAAAAAAAAAAAAATTAATTATGTTGACATTATTGTTGGTTGGTGTTAGAAAAACAAAACATCCCCCCCAGGGCAGAAATTCAGATTTCAAAATGATTAAATTCTATCTATCATCAACAATAAAAGAACTTGCTGTACACTTAAAATGTAAATATTAAAAGCTTGATTGAAAGGACGAGACAATAGATGGTGTTTCTTTCACTTGTCCTGCACATCAAGTTATTTGCATGCAAATGCTGAAAATTCTTGGTTTTTAAATAGAAAATCCAACCTCGTAATGGTCTCCTGGACAAAGTCGAGCGAAGCCGATGAGACCTGCAAGTGAAAGCAGACGTTAGATGTCTGGGAGATAGTGTGTCACTGATAACCTGTAAATTGCTCAGGGCTCTGAAGGCAGCATGTGTGCGTGTGTGTGTGTGTGTGTGTGTGTGTGTTCACACCCTTCATTTTAATGTGTAGCTCTCCTAGCAGGATTTCTAACTCTCCTTCCATTGTTGACATGTCCTGCAGAGAAGTGTAAACACACAGAGAAAAAAAAAAGATCTTCTCTAACAGTTCTTTGTCTATTTTCTCAGAAGATTGCATGACTCACAGTTCATCAGGTTATGGTTCAGCTTTCCCAGTCATCCACTCTCTGAAACCTGGTCTGTTTTAGCTCCTTAGCTGCCTTACCTTTTGATTTGCTGTTCCTCACAAACAGAAGGTTTGACTGTGCTCACAGCTCACAGGGCGCTGGAAACGACCATTTTAAGGATAGCCAATATTTATTTCGGCAATAAAAGCCAAAAGCAAATCTCTTTAAAATCTTTGGAAAGGTTTATGCACTTCATTACTAAGAAATAACCATCAGCAATCCTCAGTATGTTTTTACTCTTAACATCTAACACAGGTGTATGGAAGCCCGTTTCCGCCACTAAAAAAAAAAAAAAAAGCTAGTATCCATAACTCGAAATTTCGAGAAATATAACTCGAAATTTCGAGTTACTTTTCTCAAAATTTCGAGTTAGCTCTGCCAATCAAAAATATACGTGAATGAGGTCGCTTTCTTGTTACCCGGAAGCATATGGCGCAGGACCGCGCACTCAAAAACGGATCCCAACAAATTAAAGTATGTTTGCTGATAGTAACACCATGTGATTCAGCTAATAACACAGGGATTTCATCATTTGTGAAGCCAGGCTGAAAACACTCAGCAATCTGTGCATTCACGACTGGATGTAATACCGGTAGCTTAGCTGTAGCATTTGTAGCTGAGGGCTTCAGCTTCCGGGTAACATGGAAATGACGTCATTCACGTAGATTACTGATTGGCAGCCGCTAACTCGAAATTTCGAGAAAATAACTCGAAATTTCGAGTTATGGATCCTTTTTTTTTTTAGTGGCGGAAACGGGCTTCCATACAGGTGACATGTCCAGAGGTAAAAATGTCTCATTTCTTGTGTTTTTTTTTTTTCAATTTTCTTTTAAAGAGATCTCAATAAAGTTGACACACTTTGCAACATGCAAACAGAACACCATAAATGTCCTGGTTCTTGTACAGCACTTTTCTGTTCTACTGGAGCAGTCAAAGCGTTTTATACAACATGCCTCATTCACACCTGTTCATTCAATCACTTTTTCACACTCCATTGAACGCATCACAGAGCAACTTGGCGTTCAGTATCTTGCCCAGGGATGCTTTTGCTGCAGATTGGAGCAGCCAGGAATCAAACTACTAACTGATTAGTAGAGGACCTGCACTACCTCCTGAGCGTAAGCCAGCCGAACACTATGTAGCGCAATATTTAATACATGATGAAAAATACAATTTAATGTAGGTATGCATGCATGCAAATGAATTTTCTTATATAAATAAATATAATAATTACATTAAATGTTATTGTCATCTGTGTCTCCATCTGTCTAGCTTCCATTTATTAACTATTAACCACAGTTACAGTAGCAATGAATTATGTCTAAATAATAAAAACAACTATAATTGAACTTAAAGGGAAGAAACAAACTGTAAAAGAACAGTGACCCCAGTAAACAACAGTGTGCTCATTTAATGATTTATTCTGGCTCTCTCCATGGAAACCTTTAAAGGATTATTATGCTTTTGCATTTTAATGCTGACTTTCTGGCTAAGAGCTGGACTTCACCACAAAGAAGAGCAGATGAAGCAGCATGTGTCGAGCAGACTTTTGTCATCTGTGTGGGCTAAAACTGCAGGAGGTCGCATAGCACAGACCAAAACTGAGGACCAAAGTGGCCAATTTATCAGTAGTGAAGACTTTTTAACATCATTCCTAATATACATGCATGCCTGCCCATATTAAATATGGTCAGTTTTAAATAATGAGGCCAGCATATATACAAGTAACATGCAACAGATCGTTTACCAGATCTCCATTTATTATGGTCACATTGTTTCTCATGTGTCTGTCTGATTGCACGGTGGGCACGTTTGGATGTTTAAAAGCTGATCAAATGAAGGAAAACCCCAATCACCACAATCCAAACATAACAAGAAATAAAATGTTTATGTGATGCCTACACAATCTCACTAATTTAATTTACTATTGTGTTACGCTGCCAAAGAGGCTTCTTTAGAATTGAAAAAAAAAAAAAAGAGAGAGTTAGTATTGTGCCGGCATTTTTAGTTCTTGATTTGACTTGAAAAGTGAAGTTACACAGCCTTAACTTCACTCTTATTTTATTATGGAAACAAGGTCTTCTTAGAAAACAGTGACCTGCATGCAAGCATTAATTACAAGCGTGCAGTTTCAGCTTCAGTTTATCATTTAACTCCTTCAATCCACTTAAACTTCAGTCTGTTTTCTTAATATCAGCAGCCACTGGAGAATTGTTCTTCTGCACACACAGTTTCTACTGTCCTGGCATATAAAGTCTTGACAGAGTGAGAAGAAAGCCAGTTTTTAAGGATGAAGTCAACTTCCCATAGGAAAGATTAAAGTGTTGTTTTATTACAATTGCAAAAATCTGGGTGTTGGTCTTAAGATTAAAAAGAAAGAAAAAAAACAAAAGCTCTTCTACGGAGTTTCTGTTCACCTGCGAAAATCACAATGGCAGATGCAGTAAAATGGTTTGTGATGCTGTGGTGCCCTTAATACCTACAGAAAAGTATCTTGTTACATCTGAAAACTGTATTTATTATCTCAGCCTCTACTATCAGAGAACACATGAGAACATTTAACCCAAGAAATTTACATGTTGTGCTAACTGTATTTTAAGCACAAGAAGTCCTGAATCATCCCAGAAGTGGGAATGATTGTTATTTTAATAATCTCGTTGTTGTTGTTTTTATTGTATTTGACTTAATTAGGCATCTGTTCCTATAATACCCCCAAATTTAAGTAAGCTTGTGGATGATGATGATTATTGGAGAAAAGAACATCAGTGGCCTAAGATTCTCAGTAAACGAGGTTATTCAAGCTTTGTAGGATTAAGTCAAGTTGAGCTTTAAGTTATCACCTCTCATCCAAGTAGAGTGTTCAGTTCTGAAAACCTCTTAGCAGAGGTCAGAGATTTTAACTGTAAAGAAACTTCAGACTCTGAACATCTTTTGTTGAGTGCAGGTCAAATAGAAGGAGAAGTAAGAACGTACATGCTGAACAGTACATAGGCATGCATGCAACCGTGTATACAAACAAATGATGAGCACACCATTCATATATAAGTTAATCTTTATAAGATCTGGTGTGTGTGTGTGTGTGTGCGTGTGTGTGTAAGACCAGAGGAGAGTTTTAAAAAAAAAAAGATGTGATATCAAAAACACTGAGGGTGAAATGATGAAAAGAAAAAACTGATCACAGGAAAGTAAGAAAAGTTTGTGAGGAGCTGAGAAAAAGAAGATGTGGGCACATGTTTGAAGCTGAATCTATGAAAAAGAGAAACCACAGATCGACAGAGGGCATGAATGAGTCTACAGCTGTCTTTTAATGGCCCTTATCCTGCAGCTGCAACCAGAAGAATCACTGCAGTACCATCACTCACATGTCAGAATATTTGATTTGGAAACTTTATGACCATTCAAAGGCTTATTTTGCCACTGCGCTCCTCGGACATGATGGATATGTGGTTGCCACTTTGGCTGTGAGTACGTCTCAAAAACAGTTCAGTTTACAGATTCTCTCTGGGAGGTTTGAAGGCACATGGTAAGCTAGACTGCTGCCTACAGTAGGTGCCAGAGAGGAAGAATAAATATTGTCTGGTGTAATAAAAAAAAAAAATCTACACACAATGTGCCTACAACATGGACGACTGTGAAAAAACAAACAAACAAACGAGGCATGAATTCCCTTTTTTGTGCAACATCATCTCCAGCTAGTTTGAACTTTTAGAAACTTCAAAGAACATTTGTGATTTTCCAAAAATACTTTTCCAAAATGTCACTGATCACTGATCCTACCTGCAGGCTGTGTCTGTGGTTGCGGTTGAGCTCCAGCAAACTCTCTCTGGAGGCTCTGGTGGACTGGGACAGTGAAAAGGCTCTCTTCATGTTGACCGCTCCCTGACACAATCTCCACTGAATACAATATGTCTCATACAGCTCCTCTACCTGCAGAGGCATGGAACAGATGAAGAGTAACAACATCAACAAACATCATCATCAACATTTTCCCCCCTCTTTTACATAACGGATTAGACTGGTGGTTAATCAGTGTGCAGCACAAAGTGTCTCCCTGTGCGACAGGGGTGGCTCATCTGCTGCTTTTAAAAGCTTTTGAGTAATAGTTTAGTGAATTCATACCATAGAAATACATCTGAGTAACTGACAGAAAGATAATCACCAGGCTTGCATGGAGTTAGACTCTTTTCTACAAAACAAAGGCTTTAGTAGATTTTTCATCAACCTCAACTACAGCCGAGAAAAACCAGTCTAAAATCCAAAATTTTACCTTACTGATTTGAAATTCTAATCGTCGTATATATCTCTCCAAAGACCTGATCTCCTGTAAAAAAACAGAAAAAAAACATATTGAGTTTTGAAAGCTTGAGAAACATTTATTATCACTTATCCATTCGAATTAAATAACTTAAAATAAGATCTTGCTTAAAAGGAAAAAATGAAAACACATTACCTTCTCCAGATCGTAAAGAAAGGCCTGAAAATGCAGAAAAGTATAATTACCATCAGCACTGTTGTCATCACCAGGCGCACACATTTTTGTACACACAGACTTTCTTCCTCTCTCCCTCCTCACCAGTCTCGAGTTTCTTTTCGTCTCTCTCTGCTGTGAAGACAGGAAGTCCATCTCAGCTTGGTGACCCTCCAGGTAGTCCCTGAAGAGAGAAACACACAATTAAAAGTAACATTTTATGAAGATGAACAAACTTTACCTGCCAGATATCAGCTGAGAAATTCCAGCTCGGGACTACCAAACATCTACTGCATGTAGCAGCAGATGTGAAAAGTACAGCTACATTTACTGACAGCGTAAAATATGCTTTGCAAAAATTAAACTAAATATCAAAAAATCAACCAATTTTACTCTGTTAAAGGATCATTAATCATAAATGTGACCGCTTCCTATTCATCTTGTGGACTTTTGAAGGGTCAAACCACAGATTTGGAACCACTCAAGTAAATAAATGTAAGGAGGTGGAAACAAGCCTCGCGCTGACCAGCTGCAACACTAAAACACTACAGAGACATGGACAAGTTTAGTATTATAGCACTGGGTACGTCACTGCCTGCTTGTACTTTAATGTTTAGTGGGATACTTGTTTAAGTTCAGCAGTACTACACATACTTGAGTCCTTTGCGTAGTGCCTGAAAAACCCTGCCGACCTGCTCCGGCTGCAGAGACCAGATAGCGCCTGAACTTCTGCGGGGGGAGACGGGCGCCCTGCTGGCTTTATTTCCCGTCATGGCTTTGACGCGAAGAGAGTTACGAACAGAAGACGTCCTAAAAACAGAGAAAGTGAATGAATAGTCATAACAACATTTTTACAGGGTAAATCAGAATCTGTAGTTACATAAATTGTTATCAAAAAGAGCTTGTTGGAGTTTTTTTTATATTCCTACCTCTTTATTTTCAACTGTGTTCATCAGTAAAATCTGTTCCCATGTAGTTCCCTGTATATTAACACTCCTGTCTTTGGCCCAAATCTAATCCAGCCCCTACAATCCACATTAAGTGTGGATCCAAGCAGGTAGCCTTTAGTGGGAGTGTGTTATAAGGCCCTCCAGCATAAAGTCTGGACCAGTGTAGGTTTACCACCTGTTTTTTGTCTGATACGGAGGAAACCCCACACACTCAAATGTGGTCCATATGATTCAGGACTGTCTGTGCAATAAATAAAATGTCAAGTTTGTGAATGACCATGAACATGGTAACAAGAAAACACACCCAGTTTCAAGTCTAAGGTTTTTATAGATCAGGACATAATAAATAGTAATCTTAGCCGGTCTTAGAATTAAGTAAATACAAGCCTCAAAGTATGACATATTACACCGTGCCATTATTTATTTAATAAAAACTTAGCCAAAATGGGCGCAGCAGTGTGTGAAAAAGGACACCCTTACAGGTTGCGTAGGAATTAGGAGGTTAAGTAGTGATCCAAGTGTGAGTGAATACAATACCAAGGAGGATAGATCAACACTGATCTTAAATAAGAAGCAACTGTTTCAGTCCATCATTCTGGAAAAAGATTAAGTCTAGAAGTTCATCATTGTACTGTGAGAAAGAAAGCATTCAAGACAGGAATGGACCGTGCAACACTCAGGGAAGAGCTAGGTTAACATAGCTTTGCAAAGCTGCATCCGACCCAATCACAGAGACATCAGGATCAATGTTCTTTGGATAGATGTGACTAACAGATGTTTGGCCATAATCCACAGCACCATGATTGGCAAAAACCAAATACAGCATATCAGTGCAACTGCTTCATACCAACAATCAGGCACAGTGATGGACAGTGGATGATTCTGACTTGTTTTCCAGGCACAGGACCTGCGCATATTACAGTCTCAAAGTCGACGGCCAAGTCCTCTGTATATTAAACTATTTCAGAGTCAAATGAGGGGCCATTTGTCTCAGGCTAAAGCTTAGCTGCAACAGGGCCATGCAACAGGACAATGACCAAAAGTACAGCAGCAAATCTACAACATAATGACTGGGGAAAAAAAAGAATCAAGGTTTAATCCATAATTCAGAAATGAACATATGCTCCCATCCAACCGACATCTTTTCAGGCAGGCTTTTCATGCTTCAGGAAGACAATCGCAAACAAACTGCATACAGCATGACTCTGCAGAAGAAGAGCCTAGGTGCTGAACTGGGCTGCCTGCAGTCTAGACTGTTGAGCAGAAAGAAACGTCTATCAGACCAGATGGGCGCCATTCCTCTCCACCAGCTGGTCTCCTCAGTTCCCACACATTTATAGACTGTTGTTAAAAGAAGAGGGGATGCACAGTGGTAAACATGGCTATTTTTTTGGGTCCAATTTCTGAATTTAAACATTTGATATGTTTGCTGTGCACTATGGTGAATACAAAAAAAGATTTATGGAGAATCGGATGGGGGATGTGTGTTTAGGATGGAAAAATGTGTGGATGTTTGTGTTGTGTGTATAGAGTATAAACAGCCACACACACACAGAGAAGTGGAATGCTGCTTGCTTTCTTTTTTTAACACAACATTTTGTTCTCGGCCTCTCTGGGGGACTGACAGTTTTCATCTGGGTGTTTATCACTCTGTCTTCTTTCATTCGCAAATAACATCTGAAAGTCTGTGGTGCTTTCACTGCCTGCCCATCAGCGGAGAACAGACTTGTCTGAGGGTGAAGGGAATTCCCTCCACACAACGTGACGTTTTTATTTTCTCTCATTCATTGTTTCACTATATGGAGAAAAACAGTTCAACAGAGGGATGATTTATAACATGATCACAGTATCAAAGTTAATATCTGTAAAATCACAAAGTTAAAATTCTTTTTCTTCCCATTTATCCTGACAGCTACGAGAATCGAAACAATTCCTCAGACATTTTTCTCCCAACAAACTTCTGTTTGTTTTGTTTTAGACAGCGGCACGTTTTTCCTTTATAGAGATTCAGACTCAGTGTTTCACATAATGAGATCAGTATCTGTACAAGTCAAAAACTCAGGCTTCACACTGCTGACACTCGGTTTTATAAAACTTTTTCTACTTAACGTGATCCTCGTCACACTCACTTAATGTCTAAATTTTATTGATAAAACATTATTTCATAATGCAATGTCAGGATTTTTCCCCCTGACTGAGGATTTCTTTACATCAATTCATAATGATACAGTGAATGTTGATAATGGCACCACTGGTGTTTCCATAATTCCGTCTGCTGCTTGACATGAAGTCTCCCGAGAAAACGAGCTGGCTGCTGGCAGGGAAGAAAATGTGGAGACTCTTCCCAGAGGAGGACGAGACAAGAAGACCAACAGGGAGGGAGAGAGAGACCAAAAGTAAAACAAGCGAGTCCTTAAACAGACTTGTTGTCCTTTGCCACTTTAAGCTGCCTTATGGCTGGCTATTTATCGTTAAACCAAATAAATGCTCACACTGATGAGCTCAACGCATGCTAATAAACACGAGGGACAAACCAGGGCTGGTTAAAGTGGCCAAACTACTCGTAACATTCACAAAATGTGCACCTGTAGCATCCACTTGCTCGTCCTTCTGTCTATTGTCATATCTGTAACCACACCCTTCCCTCAATTTTCCCCATCTCTATTCTTACATCTGTGCTTCCTTTCAACAGTTGTGGCTTTCTACTGGCGCTGCAGACACACCTGAAGACAATCGACTAATCACTTGCTGCATTCAAACACCAGCTCTCACACCCACCCCTCACCAGATTGTCTGACATTTAAAGATTGCCTTCTCTGCCAGTCTCCCCCCGTTTTCTCCCTGTGCTCCAGCTACGTCCTTGATCTGTCACTGCATCGTTTGACCTTCCTGCTAAACAGTGTGATTCTCCCAGTATTCTGCTTTAGAGTTCGCCAGTTCAGTAGTTAAATCCTAACACTTGTACTTTATAGCTACAGCACATTTAGCAGCACCAATACCTCTACATGACACTTAACAGAGTTTAGACGCCTCTGTGGTTTTTGCTCTTTAAAAAAATAACACTAATTACACACTGTCTGCCCATGATATGTAGCTACACCACACATTTGTTGACTATTTCTCTGCCAGTCAAACCCAGACAGACACACCCCTGCAGCCAGATGAGAGAGGAAAGGGAGCATTTCTGATATCTTTACCAAAAACCTTTTCTTTTGTTAAATAAACAGTTGCTAACTTCTTTAAAACTGGCATAAATATCTGAGAGTGAGCGAATGTTTTGGACATCCTTTGGAAGATCCACTTAGATAACAGGACCCAATTAGTTCTTACTAGTTGTTTAAGACTAAATTGTAAACCAGTGTTAGTCGTTATTACACAGATTTCTTTCTTATTGGTTGAAACAATAGGAAAGTGTCATTCACCTCTGTCGACCAGTCAGAGAAGAGAATCCAGTGAAGGAGCGGCTTCTGTGGATCAGGCCTCCATCTGAGGGAGAGTCAAATCGCAGCTTCACTGACATCCTGCAGAGTAAATAAGAGGTGTTTTAGCCAATGAGGAGACACGTGCTAACAAAAGATATCCCAAACCCTCAAATATAATCACTTTATATTTCCAAGTTAATCCTAAATAATGGTGAGTCACAAAATCAATCACATGAGGTCTACGATACAAGAAATCAACCACGCTAATGTTGGAAGTAGAATTATAACAGAAATGATTGAAAACAAGATCAAAGCGACAAGAGCTGAGACCAAACAGACGTTTGCTTGAGAAAGGATCTGTCACTGTTTACTCTTTATATTAGTAACTGGATGTGTAAGACTGTTTGTTAAAGCCAAAAAAACTGAATATCTTAAGTCACTTGAATTAAAAAGAAATATTTCCTCCTTTTTCTTTGTTAATTTTAAATTGATGTTCTTTATTTCCACAGTCACTCACGCGAACATTTAAATCAACAAGACCACCCTTACTCTCAGACAATCCAAAACAGGAAACAGAGCACCGACATCTGTGGGACAAATTAACCAAAGAACATCTTGAACCGGACCCACAAATATGTGCACAAACTGCAGATGGAGGACGCTTATATATTCACTATACTCCGAGTATGGCAGCGTTGGTCTGTTGGCTCGCCCACACACCGTAGATTCGGGTTGAACAATCTCAGAAAATGGAAATAAAATCAATAACTTACAGTGTGCACCATTCAATATAAGGTTTATGCCACAATGGCGTTAAATTAACATTAGTACATTTTAAATGCAAAGTTTTATGAAAAAAAAGCAGAAAAAAACCCCAAAACAATTATTTTGTTTTGCACTCCTGACAGAAAAATTAGTTTTAGTCAGCTAGTTCTACGCTGTTATGCTTGAATCAGTGTGAATCAATGCTTAAAGTCCTGCTGGCTTAAATACAGGTATAAAAATATTCAGTTTGTTACTTGGCTGATAAATAATCTTATTTTCTGTTTGATTTATAAAGTACTTTGTCTTCTTGTTTTTGTGAGAGGTGGTCTAATATACGTGTTAAGTAATTTAATGATAGTTAAACAATTAAATGACAAGAACGTACCTGTTTTTCCACTATCTGCTATAGAAAAGTCTGCTTCTATAGTAGACAGAAAAGTATCTTTTCCTCTTTCAGCTGTCTCAATCTGTTGTTAACGTTTAAAATGATTTTAAATCGGCTATGATGAGGAAAGTGTTCATTCAGTTTTTGTGTTTGCATGAGCTTCGCTCTCATTCCCTCTGCTCAGCTGCAGCGACTTTGCTAATGAACCCAGTCAGTGCACATATACACCAAACAGCAGCCTGCAGAGCTGAGAAATGAAGCAGTTCCTCTAATGGCCTCTTGGTACTGGCTCCAAAGGCATAGAAAGCATATTTATACCCTGATACAGGAAAGGCTTTGTTCTTGTTAATTTAGGGGCGTGAACATGTTGATTGACAGGTTTAAACTGCCTGTGATATACACAGAAATCCCTTGACCTCTCCAAGTGTCTTGTAGAGTGGGCTTTGGTTTTTCAGTGCCTTTTTTTGTTTTGATCCTGATAGTTTTTTTGTCACAGTCCTGGGTTTTTGATTGAAGTGTTTTGAGTTTCCTGTGGGGTGTGTGTTTGTTTGTTTGTTTTTTTGTCACTTTGTATTGTGAATTATGTTCTCATCATTGGTCTTTTGTTACTCCCTCGAGTCTAGTTTCTTGTGTTCCATGCTTAGTATTTCTCTCTGTGTATTATTGATCATCTCTAGTCTTTTGGTTCTTAGAGTTCTCTGCCGTATGGTTACGTCTCTGTGTTTCTTAGTTGCTCTGTCTCCACCATGTTAAGTTTGCGTCTCAGTGTTATACTTTGTGTTTTACTTTGAAGGTCTGTGTCTCATGTGAGTGTATCCTGCTTTGCTTCCTTGTCTCGTCAGTTCTGATTTCCCCCAGCTGTGCTCTCCTTCTGTGTCTGATTCCCTCGTTATTCCCCGGTGGATTTAAGCCCTGTTTTTCTCTGTGTCAGTGTCGCGTTGTCCCTCATTGCTGTGTGTTAGGCTCGCCCTGTGTTTCCTTAGTAGTGTCGCATCGCAGTGCTGATGTCTATGAAAATGTTTATAGCTGCATCACCAGGAAATAAGACAGAGGCAAAATAAGATTATTTTGCTAAGTTACCAAAAGAGCCTTTCCTTTACGGCAGTAAAGACAAAACTAACAGAACACAATAAAGGCTGACAAAGTGAAAAGGTCAGTCGGTTTTATAGAAGAGTACTGTGTGTAAACACACAGTCTGGATGCCATCTGCTCAGGCTCTTTTATGTGGTTCAAATAGCGAGTCTAGTTAAAGCTAAAACAACAACATGACTATATTTTTACCATTAGCCGTTTCTTCTAAACAGCCTTTATGCAATGATCTGTGTATGATTGTGCAAACCTCCTTATTCAGCATGTTAATAAACCACAAAGATGTTTGGCTGAACTTTATTATTACCAACAACCCAAATTTGATAAGGTAGAGCTGAATTGCCCCTTTTATCCGACTTTGCTGAACTGATCTGTTGAACGTTATCATGTTTTGTTTATGCACTTTTAGATGGAGATTTACATTCAGCCAAATTTTTGAGTCATTGTCGCTTCAGTCACACAAACATATATTTATACACTCTTTTTTAATTTTACACACACAAACAGGACTTCCATCATACACGGATGGATGCATCACAGGGGCAAAATGCTAATCATCATATTAGTGGATGACACACTGTACCTCCTTAACTACAAGCATCCGGCTGTTTCAGCGTGTCTAAGATGTGATACTATTATCATAAAATGCTGGATCTTATGCATGTGCTAATGTGATTATCTCAAAAAATTATTCTTCATCCCTCAAAAATATGAAGCCATAGTTTTGAGTCAAATGCAGCTTTAGGTTTATTTATTCAAATAATTAATCATGAAAGAAAACATGCTCACTAGAAACTGAATGTATGATATAATTAAAGTACTTAAAGTCAGCATTTGTGGGTGAATACTGAATATTTTTTGAATGTTTTTATACTTCAGCCTCTTTGGTGGCCCTGAGAGGTCGAGCACACTGCAGCTTAAGAAAACACCAGGAAATAGAAAAACACTGCAAAAGATAAAGAAAAAAAAATCACAAACACAACAGAAGTGTTTTTGTTAACACAAAATGTGACAGAACACCTGCGAAAGTGACACAGATGAACCCTCCACTTCATTTCAGTCTGTCTCAGTTACAGTCTCTTCACATTTTCTGCCACTTCTCTCACTGACCCGCCCTTTTATTGTGTCCCCAGGAGCTCTAATATTTTGCTGTATCATTTTTTTTCTTCTTCTTTTGGCTTAAAAAATCATTCTGTTGTGTTTTGGGTGCTTTTGCAGGACAAGTGCACTTGTCCTCTCAGGGTCACCGTATAAGTCGGAGTGTGAATTTTAAATGTTTCATGCATTTAAAACACTTGGAAAAGAGCACGTGCAACAATACTGGAGGTATGGGAGATCAAAACTTCATAAAACTAAATCAAGCTCATCCACACTAAGTTTGGCAACCTGTGGCAAGGGTTTGAACCAATAGTATGGTAGAAATACTGAACCCTGCCAATGTAAGTAGTTCAGAATAACCCACTTCGGAGTCCTGACCCAGAATGTGAAACTCACACTGTGGTCCTGATGCCAAAATCAACAGAGTCACCGAGCAACCAAACTTAACAGATGGGGATAGGAAATCCAGGTCTGATCATTATGAACCAAAGTTAGCCAAGACACACACACACACATATACACACACTTGGTTTTTCCCTGTAGAGGAAGTTGAAGTGTCTTTTGTTTTACAAGGATAATATTTTTCAGTACATGTTTCTAGCCTCTTAAATCTAAATCTGTCCTTAAGGTAATCCTCAAGGTTAGACAGCTCAACAACATGCAGCGGCTTGAAGTGGGCCAATTATGCTTATTATAGCTCTCGTTTTGTCCTTGGACTCTACTAAAGCAGATTTCAATGCTTCATTATTTAAAACTTTCGGCATGTTTGATTTGCTCATTCAACACTATGACCAGATAGGTATGACAGAAAATAAAAAAAAGTATAAAAGGTCGGCTTTAAACAGAAGTATTAATTTGTTTTACAAATGAACTTCATGTCACGGCTGCGGCAGCAGTCGTGTGGTGTTTGTGTGAAAGGACCCAAAATGCAGGCACTTGCTGTGATGCGAGGGAGCTTTATTGTAGAAGGTGAAAATAACAAAGACGAGGACAGAACTAAACATAAACCTAAACTGGGAAGACTAGTAACAAACAAAACCCGAAACCATAACTCACAGAACAACATGCAGTAAAAAACATAAGGAGGTGACACAGGGGATGAGGAGTGGAGAATGAAGTGCAGCGAGACACCAAGTTACACAAATGGAGCGACGACGAATGGAGGCAAACAGTCTGGGGTTAAAACTGAAGCAATACACATACAGTTCATATCTGTGAATAAACTGACCAACAGGAAAGCAAAGGAGCAAAGAAAAGCAACACACAATGCCTACGAAGCCTTTAAAGACTGTTTAAGTTGTTAACAAATATGCAATAACTGCTGAAATAAATGAGTTGGAAAAGATGTACTACATGAAGTAGGAAGATATGCACGTGCACATTATTTTTGGTGGATTTTTGACACTGTATGAATGTAAAAAAATAAAAATAAAAATTGCTGCTAAGCTAAGATTCTACATTAGCATTTGAAGGGCCATATTGCACTGCTGTACAGTTACTATAAACCGAAGCTTTGTTCTTCTTTCTATTTTTAAAGCTCATTTTAAGAAACAGACAGCTGAGTGGATGCTTTAAGAAATGACAAATGGAGAGTGTTTGTCATTTCTCAGTTTGAAGCAGAATTATATACTCTGGCTGAATGCCACATTAACCAGCTGTTACAGGCAAAGAATGTGACACACACCGAGCATAAGCAAAAAGTTTGTTTCAGTAGTCACATACTACACCTTTCTCCACCTGTCTGCTCTGTTACAGCAGCTGG